TTCAATGTATAATAATGTTTTCACTGCTAACCAAGGTGTTCAACATCTATTTCAATGTATAATAATGTTTTCACTGCTAACCAAGGTGTTCAACATCTATTTCAATGTATAATAATGTTTTCTCTGCTAACCAAGGTGTTCAACATCTATTTCAATGTATAATAATGTTTTCACTGCTAACCAAGTTGTTCAACATCTACTTCAATGTATATTATTTTACCGCTAACTAAGTTGTTCAACATTTATATAAAAGTACAAAGTCTCTGTATATTCGTTTTTCATTTCCTGTGTACCAGAGGTTGATGTTGTTTGAATACATATAACTCCAGCACCGTTATATCGATCTCGAGAGAGTGTAAGTGCCTTCTACTAGGCGAGGTCATTGATCTAGCTTTAAAAACTACGACTTATTTGTAAGGCCTTTATATCGATCGAAAGTACGTTTACCGAATCATACGAGTTTCTGTTCAATTTGCCATTCAACAGGAATTTCCATCAGGGGTAAATGACATTATCATCTCACTTTAAGATGTTACAGTCACTAAAAACACCAGGAGTGACTGACATTAACATCTCTCTTTCAGCTACTTTAACCAATTAATTTAAAAGTGAGTTGAGACAAATAACAACTCAGCTCACTATCCTTATTTTCATTACGACTTTTGAACTAGTAGGTGTGTTTGAAGTTAAGCACAAAGCTACACAATGGGCTATCTGTGCTCTGCCCACCACGGTATCGAAACCCGATATCTAGCATTGTAAGTCCTCAGACACACCGTTGTGCCACTCGGGGGCATAGAACTAGTAGAGAATACAGTTGCCAGAAGTTTATTTAAATTATGGTAAAAAAATGTAAAAAGAATATTTATATATTGTTTAGAGCCTAGAAAAATGCCTACTAGGGCATTTCGGGATGACACATGCAACCACTAGTAATCGTTTGTTTTCTAAGCCTTAAGTGAATATGAATCCATTTTTGTTCTCCAATTCAGTCACTAACCTTTTTTTTAGAATATTTATTTATTTTACTAGATAATTATTTCACCACCGACGTAATCACTCACAATCTCAGGTAATTGAGATAAAAACAAAAACGACCATCCATCTACACATTTGGTTCATTGAACTCCCCTTACAAAAACGCCCTCTTACTTTATTATTATCCTTACATATTATGTAATTTAACACTCTTTTTTCCCCAAGACTTATACACCCATTATTCATGGACAGCTGACTATAAGTTCAGAAGTTATAATT